TTTCAATTATGATGTACTTGTGATTGCTTTTTTTCTTATGTTGAAAATAATAAAAAAAAATTTGGAAAAAAAAAAGAATCAAGGACTGGGATCATGTATGCATCATCTCTTTGGGTGCATTGTTCTAGGAAAATGAATACGAGATATCGATCTAATGATATCAGGGCAAAGACCCTCAGTTGGGCTTGAAAGCTAAGCAGTGCTGGGCTTTAGGTAAGAAAATCACTAGGAATTCTAGGGGTGCCAGCTAAACTGAGCTGTTGGAAAACATTCTGGATGGTACTCGTAAGGAACAATTAGGGAAATCCAATTTGATGGGTTAGACTGAGAAGTTGGAAAATATTCTGGCAGAAAGCAATGGCAAACCACTTCAGTATTCAGTACAGCAAGGCTGATTCAGTTACCGAGAATCAAGCCTGATTTGAGAGGATCTTTATCTTCTTTATGTGAATATATCTGCACGTGAATAGGAGAAATGAACATCTTAAATTTCTAAGCTCAGAAGCATGTTTTAAGAGGTCTCAATGGGGAGATTGCAGAACTGCTGCTTTTAACACAACACATATCAGTTAATCATAGATAGCCTGTTAAGAACTTCAAATGAATGCTTTAAAAAGCAAAAGGGGAAGGAACCTACAGTCACAATCTCAAACTCAACAATCCATGAATTGATATTTCCAGATAGGTCATCAGAATAAAGCTTCTGTTTCCATTTTCTTTTATTTCTGTGGTTTAATTTTAGCAGACCCTTTGTTTCCAAAACTCTTGTACTATATTTCACCCCTGAACCTACTAGCAACAAAGAAAGTTGTTTTCAACTGATTACTGGGATTGGGGGAAGGGTAGGGAAAATTTGTTCCAGAACTGTGACAAAATAAAAACATTTGGAGGCAGGGAGATTGCTTATTTGTTTGGAATAAGGCATATCAAGCAATGAAAGAATAAATAAAGGTTTGCTCTAATGACCCTCACTTGATGTTTAACCTTTGCATTCATAAACAGGTATCTGGGAAATTTGTGCAGTAAGAATGAAAATGAAGCCAGATTGCATTACCTTTATCTAGATAGTCAGAGGTTTGAATTACTAAAGTAATGAAACTTCAGCAGCCTGCTTCAGATCTATTAGGTTTGTCAGTTTTTATAAGCATGCTTACTTCAGGCATCCAATTATAAATATAAATTTTAGCAGGGCCTCTATTTGCTGAGAGTCACTAGTAAGTGCTTACAGACAGATTTGCATGTACATGTTGAATAATTAACCTACTGCTTTGATGGACAGGTAATCTGGATTAAATGGATATGTTCCTCTCAAGATGACATAGCACAAATGTGTACATTTGCATATACAGAAAATCCATATCTCTTCTAGAAAGGATGATCAGACTGTACAGAAATGCTGGCATTTGAAAATAATATGACAACCTCAAAGAGGTTTGAATTGATGTGCTGTCTGCTCAGAACTTTTTGTGTGGGTTCAAATTGTGAAACGCATCCAGAATCACAAGCAAATGTTGATCAACCAAAATGTTCTTAATTAATCACCTCAGAAAGAATGTTGTAGAATAAGAAAAAATGGAGATTAAAAAAACCAGAATGCTCTTTGGGAAAGAGGCTACCGTGTTTGGAGAATGTATCTCCCTTTCTCAAAATACCTGAATAACCTGAAAAACAAGAAATTCAAGACAGAGAAAATGAAATTCTCTGTTAATTGGTGGAAGTTGCTACCACACTGTTGACCAGAAACTTGAATTTCTTTAAATGAAGATTTGCTCAATTCTTGAGATTGAGAATCAATGGCAATTGTAAGATGACTACAGATTATCCCAGGATTGAAGACAGTAAATATGTTGTTGCTGCTGGGTAGATATTGCTACTGTTCTTTTTGTGAGCTTCCCACTTGCTAAAATAAATTCTTCTTATTATAATCTTAATACTGTAGAATGTTGTACACATGGTTCAATTTCCCCAAGGAAGAGTGAAGTTTTCTCTAATGTATGGTTTTCCCTCTTCAGTATATTATGATCCCAACAAGAAGAACCACGATAAAAGAAATCAATTGCTGTGAAAGCTCCTAATCCTAGCTGTGGAAAGAAGAATGAGTGGCAACTACTATGCTCCCTTACTTCCCCTTATCCCTTTAATGAACCTGTCCTTAACTCTTTTGGGAAAGGTTCATATAATCAGAAAGAAGATATGAAAAAAGACCAAACATCAGAAAAGAGCTGACAAATTAGGTGGAAGAGCACCTAGTTGTAACAAGAGATGTACTTGGTGACAGGCCACCACAAAGAATATCACCCAAACTCCTGATTGTATCCCAAGTTTAAGAAAACTGACTGCTGTCAGTTTACAGCAGCCAAATTTACAGCAGCCCTGAAGTCTTGGCATAAAGTCCATGGTATTATCAAGTAGCACAAACCCAATGCTGGCCTCTTGAAACCCAGATGCTATTAAGAAACCCAGTTCCTGATAAGAAGCCAGGAACTTGCAAAACAAAATGGCAATGAAGGCAGGGCAACATGGCAGATATGTGGATAATTCAGAACAGCTGCAGCCTCAAAAAGCCAGCCAATGTAGGTACAGATTGCCCCAGAGCAGGGGTAGGCAACCTTGGCTCTTTTATGACTTGTGGAGCCAAAGTTGCCTACCCCTGCCCTAGAGAAAATAAATTATTTGGACATTTTTTGGTCTGAGTGTAGACTTGGCTATGGAATTGAGTTTATATTGACCACTCTTGTAGATGATCGGCAAGACTGAAAGAGAGAAAGGGTGATACTTGGATGAGGTTTCCTGTTGACATAAAGTTAGGTGTGATCATTATTGATATATTTCAACCCCAGGTCAGACAAGATATGTAGTCAAAATTCTGTACCACTACCACAAAACTGTTAGGATCTGGATCAGAATGAATAGATCTAGGGCAGGGCTTCCCAAACTGTAAAGTGCAGACAGAGTACAGAAACTTTTAGGGGGGTGCAGATGGAGTCCAAGGCAGATGTGCAGAACCTTTTAGATACATTGTTACAATAAATCCTCCTTTCCAAATTTTTCTTTGTAGATTTGTGTTCATTTTGATGCTTGGATTTTTAGGGAAGGTTGCACTAAAGTGAGGTGTGATGGCAAAAGGTTTAGGTACCCCTGATCCAGGGTCAATACTAGCAAAATTAAATAGCTTTGAAGTCAGAAGCCTTCTGATGATGGACATATTTCATCTTTGGTTCTGCATGGGATCATGCTTTTCCATGCAGCAATATTCATAAATTGGGGTTCTTTCTGATTTCATAGCTCTGCTTTATCGATGCAGTGCCTCTAATAGAATTTCCACATCACGCTAGTTTGCAAAGCTTTAAAAAAACTCAGACATTGAGGGGTCAGCCATTAAGCAAAGAGAAACAACATCCTTTGTATTTAACTGAAAGCCAGTTATTTAATGTTAGATGATGGATGTAATCAAGAAGAACACTTACTTGGAGTGGTCCATTTCACTTCTATAGCTGTATGGTTAAGAGGCTTTGCAGCAAGATTAGTGCCTTTTTCTGAAAATCCTGCTAATGTTGTAACAATCACTTTTTCACTTGATGTATAGCCTACTTCATTATGTACTATCAACTTATAGGCATATGTTGTATTCCTAAAGGATATGATTTATATCATTAAAAAAGGAAAAACCATTAGAAGTATTCAGTTTAAGTATTGAATTTACTTCAGATTAGAAGTAACATTCAGTAGAGCTACTATTTGACTCAAAAATTGGTAAATATTTGACTCAAATAGTAGCTTTGCCGAATGTTTCTTTTCAATTCAGAAACAAAATTTGGTATGTCCAAAGATAGTTATTCCAATCCCAATTTTAAAAAGCAGGCTTAATTTATGATGTAATTTAACTTTTGTTCTTTTATCTTCATTTTATCTGCCTGGTAGTCTACCACTAGTTTTTACAATGAGTAAATCATTTTTTAAGGATTGAAAATGTGGTTTATTCAATGAACAATGATTAAACAAACAGTTGTTTAGTAAATGAACCCAGCCAATAGATTTGAGCATGCCCAGCATAAATAAAGACTCCAATACTATGGCTCCGATGAGCGAAATAAACTTTACAGATTATTGACTAAATGAGGATTTTTTGGTTATGCATGATAGGACCAGCCCAGAAGGCTATAAAGATGGCCTGGGGTTGATGATTTGTTATAGAATGGGACACCTTAGAATAGGACAGAGATAGGCAAGTGAAGGAAGGCTAGTAAAGAAACAAGGACAACAAAGCCCTAGAGTTTACTTTACTTAAACAAAAATGTCCTCATAAAAAAAGCCACAATTAAAAGAGTCCAAGGTTTCCTAGGTCAACACATCACAGATCTATACCGCAAATCTTCTCCATAAATATTTCTCAAGCCCATCAACAAGCTACGGTAGCAATAGAATAGAATTGGAAGGATGCTGGATGCTGTGTACTTTAATGAAACAAATAAAACCACTCACTCAATATTCTAGCAGTTCACATCTTACTTTCCTGAGAATTTTTTAAAAAAAAGCAAAACAAAATTGCACAGAGGAGAAGAGTGGGTAACCAAACCAAACAAAAATGTGTTAATAAAGGCTCATGCCAAAAGAGATGACAGAAAATATTTCATTACATAATTAACATGTTTGCAACACGGAGATGCAAGGAATGCTTTGAACTATTAAATATGGGCTATACAAAATGCCAGCATTTGTTTTTATAGTTTTAGTAATCTTACCTGCTAAGACCCTTATCTTCATAAAACCACTGAGTTCCTGAGTAAATATTGTCCCAGAGATTTAAATCTTCAGGGGGATTTGATGCAAGTGGCTGCTGGATTTTACGTCTCAGGAGGTCATATCTAACACAAAAGACAAGCAGAATGGTGGGATTATCTTAACTAATGTTATGACAAAAAAAGGTTGCTTTTAAAAGTCACACGTTATTTTCTTTTTACAGCTGTAATCCTGTTTTTTTTAATATTTTAGAATTTGACACTTTCCGTAACTTGTGTAATTAGTTTCAGAATGGATGAGGTTTTTTAGCAGTTCTTTTATTAAGGAAAAATTATCTGAGTGTTTGATGTTTCCATACCTTTTTAGAATAATTTGACAGGAGTCTGAACAGGCAAACTTGCTTTATGTAGAAAAAGAAAGAGAAACTATATGAAAACTTAACAGGTTCTCTTCCTAGCATCAACTGCATCTGCTGTGTAACTACACTGATTTGATTTGGCTTAATAATAAAGATTTAACCTTGAAATTTGTGAAATGATAACTAGGTCAGGATATTATGATAATCAGTCTTTATAACAGTTGCTTTTAAAAAAACTATTTTTCCTCAATTTTATTTGTAAATGTTTCAGGATTCTCTTTGCCCTGCATCCCATTTTTCTTTGGGTGACTATTGTCCAGAAGTGAAAATTTGTGCCATCAGAATGACATTTCCCATGAACAAGGAAGTGGCTTTAACAGACTTGAAAAGCTAAAAGTTTACAAATGTGTACGTATGTATATTTATATGAAAAGAAAGAAAACCAATGAGGTCTCAACACATTCAGTGGTCCCAGCAAAACATAAAATTATTAGGAATGGCAAATAAAATGCAGCATTTCCTGTAGATTTCTGATTTAATCAAATAACATAATTAATTAATTTTAGGACTCAGTCTGCTTTGAGATGGAAGGATCAGTCTAATCCAAATCTGAATGATTTGCATCAGTTCATAATTAGGTCTGCTCTAACAGCAAACCAAATGTTAATCTCCTTAACATTTCCATATTTTGTACTTGATTTTAAAAAACCCTTACTTTTGAAAAAGTATTTTTGAGACAAGAGACTTTTCCCCCATGAAATTTCTCTCCTTTTAAAAAGAAAAGAAAGGAAAAAAAGAAAAGAAATTTGCTTCAAGTGACTAGAAATTCCAGCTGTCAAGCCATTTGGCTACTTATGACTTTGGGAGGAACAAGAGACACTGCCTAGAGCAGGGGTGGGGAACTATGCTGGCTCAGGAATTCTGGGAGTTGAAGTCCACCAGTCATAAAGGGGCCATCCCTAGCTTAGAGAAAAGATGGACAATCCTAGGCAACTTTTTAAAAAATGGATTTAAGGTTCCTGAGAGGAACAATACATCATCATGACCTTTGCTCCCAAGATATTTTAAGACCCATTTTGAACACAGAGTAGCTGCCATGTGAACAACTGCAACTTTTAGATACTATGAATATATATATATATATATTAGTTAAAACAATGTCCTAAGATATATTTTTAATGACAGCCTTCAGAACACTTCACCAAATTTATCAAGTGAAGATTCCTTAGAAGAATTACATTCTGAGGGGTATCACAATCTGAGAGTTGCAACATTACTGTACTTTTAATTCCTTTAGTTCATTTGCATCTTTCCCTTTTGACATTTTTATTCATACTGAGGCATGGATATAAATTCACAAAAATGTACTTTTGTTATAGTTGTACATATTATTCACCTTAGATTAACTGGTATATACATATATTTGGGGTTTAAAGTGCTTTGGTTGGAATAAACAGAAGAAAAGAAAACCACACTTTCAAATTTTTAAATATTTTATAAAGTATTTGTTTCTTTTTCTAAGTAATCTTTAATTCCTCAGATAATCACTAAAGTAAATCGAAAATATAATACCAAATATCCTGTTGTCTCCCTAGCATAAAAAAATCTTCAGTATTTTCAATTTATCAACTAATCATCAGATTTCTAATATACCCATTCAAAGAATAGAATAGAATAGAATAGAATAGAATAGAATAGAATAGAATAGAATAGCTTTATTTGGCCAAGTAAAGTTAGACATACAAGGAATTTGATGAAGAAACAGTCTCTATAGAGTGGGAGCTCTATTAATTTCTTCTGGCATCCCATTCTGCCAAAATAGTTATTCCAGTTCATTATTTGTTTGACAGTGTTACAAGCTGGCTTCCCTCCATGCGCTCAAAGCACCTTACATGAGATCCCCTTATCTTTTATCCTATTTTATCCTTATAGTCTGGGAGGAGTGTAGGGTTGAGAATGAATGCCTGGCTAAAAGTGAGCCTCAATAACTAAAAAAGAATATGAATCAAGATCTTTTTATTTATAATCCAACTTCTTAATCCCTATGCCATACTAAGAGGTCATGAAGAGAAAATGTATCAGTACAAGTTAACATTATATTAATCTTCTCACCAACATACCACAAATCCATCTGTAGTATCATCTGATTTTATAGGAGAGCCCAGAAGGAAAGCCTAATAATTAGTCTTTAGTAATTTGCTGGTTATGTATTAAGCAAAACCAATTAAGAACTCATTCTTGCATCTGAATAATTTTAGGTTGATAGTAGAATTGTCCAACCCATATTAAAGATGGTTCCTGGCTTCAGAAATAGAGGCCATTTTGATTCAATCTGAAAAATCCTATTTTTTTGTCTCTAAAGCATAAATTGGATGAAAATGGAGTATATTTTCCCATTATTTATAGTGGAAAAATAGTATATAGCTCTAATCTTTCTTTTTTTATATAAAGACAGCATGAATTTCAAAAGGAAGTTTTAAAAAGTGATCTAAATTTCATAAAGTAGTGAAGGGGGGAAGGAGGGGTTGAGTTACACACCTTTAAAATTCGTCTTAAATGCCTATAGGATTTTTACATTTTTCACCAGAATCTATAAGAAAGGTAGGTACTTTTAAGAAACGAAATGTGCTAAATTTAATAATAATGGGTGCAATGTTTTATTAAAATTAGGTAAATTTAATGCTATTAAATATAACTTTTGGAGGCAGAATATGCAGTGAAAATGGATCTTCTAGCAAGGAGTATCTGTGGCAAAGTTCAGGCAGATCAGTTGATGGGTTTTTCTGCAAAAGGAAAGGTTGCATCCTTTCTGAATGCAGTCAGGGATTGAGGGCAGGGATAAATATAAGAGATTAAGTCACTCATATTTCCATAAAAGCAAATAAAGTTCTTAAACCAATCAGGTAGATAAGAAGCCATAAACTTCTTATCTTTGAATGGAAGATGGAAAACAGGAAATAAATGCTTAAATTAAGAGTGCTGTATCAATTTCTATGTCCCCTCCTCTCCCCAGACATTTTGACTGGCATAACTGATGGTTGTCTGATTATAAGGGTCATTCTCATTTGAGGGCAGGCCTGTCAATCAAGAATACAGTTAAAGTTCTTTTTGGTACTTGAAAGAGACCCTGGAATGCATGGTGGAAGGAGAATTTTGTGACTGATTTCAGTTTGGGAAAGGACATATGGGAGAAGTATATCCTGTCAAATGAACCAAAAA